ACCGTTCTTTTACAGCTTCAAGCACGATAGCGAGAGCGAGGGCTGAGGAAATAGTCTTGTGTAGTCTTTTTTAGCGCAGCACGACGCCATCCTTCCATGGAAAATCCCTGAACTATACACTCCTTCCCGTGGGGGCGCCGTTTCTCTAAGGGTCAAACACAAGTACCTTTCGCATCTTATCCACAAGCGCCCAAGCGGAGGACCCGTGGGTGAAGCCAAAAAAAAAATCAATTGCAGAGCCAGGACCAGCCTCCCAACCCTTGGGCGTTTTTGCACTACGGCAATCACTTTTCTCTTTCCTTACCCCGCCCTTTCTTTCTTGCTTCCCACCTTACACACACACGCGCACACACACACACACACACACACACACACACACACACACGCATCCATGTGCTGCACACCAATGACTGCACCGTTTGCCCCCCCTGCCCCCGTCCGTCCGCCCTCACCTTTCCCGCCCCTCCTCATCATTACCACTGCACAGACACACACACACTCTCTCTCTCCGCACCGCACCGCACCGCACCGCTCCGCACCGTACCGCGCCGCGCCGTCCCGCATCTACCAACCCTCCCCCCCACATCCCGGTCCCATCCTCTCCCCTCATTCCTGACTCCGCGCGTGCACACGCATCTATGCACACGCGCACGTATCCGCGACCCCTTCCCGTCCGCCAGCCCAACCCGCCCCATCCATGTCCGACCGGTCCACCCCAGACCGAGAAAGTCTTGCAGGTAGTCAGTCGGCTAGGTAAGCGTGTATGACTGTACCCACCCAGCATGGCTCGCACTTTTTTTTGTTTTCCAGTTTTCGCAAGCAGGTTCGGATAGGTACATACGTAAGCAAGAGAAACGAAACGGACCGAGACAGGACTAGAAGGGAGAGGGAGGGAGGGCAATGCCAGTCCGGGTCGGCAGCTCTTCTGAAATCCCTACCTGTATGTGTTATATGGCATAGCCTGTTTTTGGCTCTTTTGTGTCTCGGCTGTATAAAACAGCGCCTCCCGTCAAGCCGCCGCCGCCGCCGCCGCCGCCGCCCTTCCGCTGCCACGTCCACGCACGCCTACCTAGACCGGAATGCCGCTGCCGCTGCCGCTGCCGCTGCCGCTGCTGCTGCTGCTGCGGATTGCTGCCGGTTACCCCCCATTGCTGCCGGTTACCCCCCATTGCTCATCGCTTCCCCCGTCCCCCTCTCCCCGCCCCCCGCCATCTCCGGACGGGTGGCGGGCGGGCGGGCGGGATGGCGGATTAGCAATTGTCTATCTACCCGATCGGTTGTCGGCGAATTGTTTCTGTTTGCGATTCTCATTTCTTTCTTGCTTGCCTTTCCTTTTCTTTTTTTCTTCTCACCACCACCACTTTCTGCGTTTGTTTGAGTAATGTTCCGGAAAGGGGACACGCGTGATTGGTGAATTGCAGGATGGAGGAATGAATGTCTTGGACGGAATGCTGTTGAGTGGCGTAACGTGGCGAGGTGGCGGCGGCTGCCACCGCCGCCGCCGCGTACCTAGGTAGCGGGGGATGATGGTGGTGGCTTGCTTTTTTTGCTTTGCTCTCCGGGGAATTAAGATGGGGATGGTCTTTGTCTTGGGACTCTGCTTGTGTCAGTACAAAGGTGCGGGAAATCAAGGTAGGAGGTTTGTTTGGTCGATGATGGTGTGTCAGAGGCTGCTCCCCGGTGGTTTCGAGGCCTCCACTCCCCCGGCCACCCACTCCTCCTCATCCGCAAAAAATAAACTATTGTTCTTCCAGGCCGGAAATTGCTTCCTTTCCTTGTCTCGTATTCTCCTCGCCCTTTGACATCATTTGCTGCACCGTGCCGCCGCTCGCCCGGCATGTGGTGTTTATTGGTGAAGCGGTGAGGATAAGGGCTGCTCTACCAGCGAAGCGGAGAGTGCACACACACACACACACACACACACACAGACGCACACACGCATTAGTTGGCTAGGGTTAGTTAATCAGAGACACGGAGATATGAGATAGCGGAGATGTGTAGAGAGGTAGGGCATCGAGGCTGTAGGATTGCGCCTTTCCGGAGCAAATGTCGCTAATCAATTGTCGTTGACTGAGACAGCATAACAGGCCAGATGATTAACACCCGCACGGAGCAAATGGAGATATGCGGCTTACGCCTCCCATTTCGCCAGGATATCCCTTTTTGATGTTTCCTCGTGTCTCCCGGCGGCCCCCCCGCCCCATCTTCCCTGGCGAAAAGAAAAAGAAAAGTAATTAAACATCGACCCGAGCACGTGTGCCGCGCCGTCATGCATATGCGGCGCGGCCCATGATCCATCTCGCTGGAGAAAAGGCGAACGAGGGGAGAGGGAGGGAGTGAGGGAGGAAGAGAGGGGGGCAGACAATATAAATTTTAACAATAGCCGCGTGCCTTTTTTCCCGCCAAAAGCAGGCAGGCAGGCGACAAACAACAAGCATCATCCACCATGGTTCGCAGTATTGAGGGTAAAAGGGCAGTTTGTTTGTTGCTCAAGGCGGGACAGGGGGGTGGTTGTTTGGTTGGCTGCTGCAGCAGCAGGCTGCGCGGCAAGGGCGATCGCTGCGTTCGCGGTTGCGGTCGCAGGCCGTGCGGTGCGCTCCCCCCGGGAGCCGCATCATCGAAGCTGGTCACAAGAGGTGTGTGAAAAGGGGGGTGTGTTTTTATTGGAACGCGCCGACTTGGCCAGCCTTGCGGGAGGCGGTGGGACTCACATGCGTTGGCGGGCGGTGGCGCGACATGTGGGCTTGGGTGGAGATTTGACACCTTTGTGCTGCGGGAGCGTTGAGGGGGATCGTCAGGGTCCTTGGGGCGGAGAAGCAAAGGGAAGGGTCGTCTGCTGGCTCACGGGAACATGCGCCGTGCATGTGTTGAGGGATTGACCACTCACCACTGGGGAGGAGAAGAGAGGGGGTGAGAAGCCGGCCGGCGTCTGACATGTGAACGGGCATGCCATGTCAGGCGGAGCGGGCAGGCTTTTGCGCCATACCGCAGTTGACACGCGAGCACGGCGTCATGACCTCAACCAGGCTCGGGCTATCTTGATTGCGTTCTGGCTGTATAGCAAATGACGGTGTCTACTTTTAGCTTTTGGCTGTCGCCCGTTTTGCCGACGTGGTACGGACGCCATCGCTGGTTGGCCGCTTGTCCGGTGGCTTCGAACAACTTCACCGGCGCTTGATAATCTGACCGCTGCTTGGTTGCGCGTCGCCGTCTGATGGGCCGCTGTATGCTATTCGGCACAGACGGCATACTATCTTCACATGAAGTCGGGGTGTCCCTCCAGGCTCCCAAGGCCTAGACCGTGGCGCATCCGGAGCCTCCGCATGACTGTTTCCGGTCAGCAGTGCATAGGGCGTGAGGTGATGCATACGAAGACGCCCAAGTCATCGTCTGCCGCTTTTGCATTCGCAAGCTCACGGCATTCGGGCATTCAACTTCTAGAGACTCGGGATCGAATGATATTGTGGACATGTGTCCAATGATTACTGACCCGAGTACACATGAAATTCCAGACCCGCAACCAAACAATTGCTTTTCGTAATATCCGAAGCCTATTCAAGCAGGTGTCAAGTATTCGAGCTGAGTGCCGAGGATAAGGCGCTCGTCTTCTAGATTCCATCCTTCTCAGTATTCAGTGCAGCCACAAATTGACCAATACTTCAAAATATTGAACCCACATCTCCTAATTGAGGGCCTTGCTATGAGTATGATGCAACGTCTGATTCCTCTCTCGAATGGAGACAGAGGTGTGATAGCTCTCTTCTTCGATAAACCAGAAACCGCCCCAGAGCCTGTTGGCCAAACTGCAACACCGGGCTAAAAGCAGCAGGCAGGACCGCCTTAATGTCTCCATACTGTCCAAGGCTTCTTAGGATAGATCGAGTCGAGCAGTTACTTTTACCAACCATCCATAGAATGTAAACCTCTGGCACGATAAAAAAAGACCTCGCTCACTTAGCAGCCTCAAGTACTATTAATACCATATTACCTTCTTCCATACTAGTGCGTCCGAAAGAACATTCAACGGACCTACTATAGTAGATAAGTTTTCATAAGTTCCCGTCTATAGTACAGCCTATACTATAACACTTACATACTGTTAAGTTATGACTAGCAGCACGGCTTAAAGATCTTTTTTTTTTTTGACATGCGGCTCTCTCACTCACAAAATCGATCTACCATACAACCATAGTGCCTGCCACACGTAATCGCAGCTCTGCACTCATCACGCATACAAACCAAGCAGTAAGTGAAGTTACAATGTCTGTGCATTAAGCTTACTACCACAGTACCAATAGTATAAAACACATCCTCATCCTTCCGCCCGCTGTCTGTCTGTCCGTCCGTTGCCAAGCACCAAAAACCCCAATCTCCAAAGCTTAGCGGCGCCACGCAGATAGCAGCCTCTTGCTTGGACATCCTCTCTCCTGTGATAGCCAATGCAGCCCAAGCTCAAGAACATCCCAATCCGACGCAGCGAGTCAACCCATCCACCGTCTTCAAGACCCAAAAAACCAACTCAAGCCGACGAGAGCGAGTCAAAGTTTTCCCAAGCCCGGAAGGAAGCAACGAGAACTCCAGCCAAGCCAGAAGCAAGCATGTCTTGCGAAACGAGCTCCACCGCACTACTCCAGATGTGTTCATCCAACAAGAGAACCGCTTCCACTCGGGGCCCAGTCTCCAAAGTGAGAGAGAAATACATGCGGCAGGCAGAAACCCCCAAGAAAAACACAGGCTCGAGGATGAGGCGCAGAATCGAGAAAACGGGAAATGGAACAGAACACCAAGATCAATGGACAAGAGAACAAGAGAATAAAAAACCCACAATCAACACCAGTGACCGGCCCCGCTTTTCCCACCAAAGAGGATGATTAGGCCTCAGCTTCCCAAGACTATCCAATAACGCCGATTGCCGTGCCACCCACGGGCCTTTTGTCCTGAAGAATACAAGATATGACAAAGAAAAAAGAAAAAAAGAATCATCTCGTGACATCACTGAATCAATAAACCGCTTTCCTCTTCCAGCCGGCGCTGGCGTTCAAGTCGGGAATGCTCTCAGTCTCGCTGATGCCCTCCCACGGCAGCTCCTCGTCGTCGGTGAGGCCGCCGATCTCGCTGTCCTTCTCCCTCTCGTCGATGACGACGCGCTTCCCCTTCGACTTCTGCGTCTTTTCCCGCATCTCCTCGGGGTCGATGCCGACGCTCAACAGCGTCTCCTCCACCTCCTTCTCGCCCCCCTCGTTCAGCTGACCGGCATCCTTCTGGCCCTCGACGACGTCGTACAGCGCGTAGATCTGATCCGACTTCGCGCTGATTGCCTGCAGGAGGTCGGAAATCTTGGCTTCGACCGTCTTGCGTTTGCGCCTGCTGAGCGAAGGGTCATGGCTGTGAAGCAGAGAGTCGTATGCTGCCTTCTGCAGGTTGAGATGGGTGAGCTCGTCTTGCAGCTCCTTGATGACCGTGGCCAGGGCGAGCGGAGCAGGCTGCGAAGGGCGCATGGTCGCGTCTATGTCGTCAGGCATGCGTTCAGATACGGGGACAGGCTCTGGGATTTCCACAGGCGCAGTGTGTTCACCCGAACACGACGCCTTGCGGCAGAGGGTGCAGTTGACATCATCATGTTGCTCTGCAAGCCGAGCATTGACGATATCAGGGATGATGAATGCTGAAGTCATGTCCGTAGGTGCGCTGCGGCGGCGGCGACTGTTCGACTGGCTACGAGCTGACTGCTGGGTAGCATCCTTTGCGGTAGCATCGGGCTCTGGAAGGTTGGCAGTCAGGATGCGACCAGTATTGGCCTCAGTGAGGTCCATTGGACGAGACGCGCTTGTGAGATCCTTCATGGACGACTTGCGAGGGACAGCATTATCCTGTGCTGATCGCGTCCGAGACGCAGAGCGCGACTCCCTACGAGCAGCGACCCTCTCCTCTTCAAGCCTCTTCCTAAGGCGGGCGATCTCGTCTCGACCCATGAAGCTCAGCTCGGTGGTGTCACCAGTGGTTTCCTGAGCCTTGTTCAGCAAATCAGGGACGGCACCATGCATCGAACGGGTGGCAGTGCGAGTGTCGCGGGAGTGCGTGAAGGCATCGAGGTCGGTCGTGGATTCAGCCTCACTGTCCGCATCCTCGTGAGCAGTCGGCTGAGGGTTGGATACAGAGCGCCGCTCAGGCCTGACTGCACCAGGTCTTGTCCTGGAACTTGAACGAGGCAACGAAGACTCCTGCACCTTGCGGTTCCCGTAAGTCTGCCTCTGTCTGCTGTCCGCGGTGCGCGTGGGGTTTTCGGTGGGCTCTTCGTGGGAAGAACGACGTTGCGAACTTGTCCGCCTGACATTCAGCAGCTCCTTGGTAATGTCCCGCGCCTCCTTGGCCGCCTCGCGACTCTTCTCGACCTTTTTGCGAAGATGGGTCTCCTTGCGGGCCCACTCCTGCGCATCATCTTCACGTTGATTCTCCAATTCGGCCAATAGGACGCGCATCTCCTCTATCTCGTCCCGCAGAATGTCGTTTGCCTCTTCTCCACCGAGGCCCTTGAGTGACTGGATTGTCTCATCTCTCTTGTTGAGCTTCGTGCGCAGCTCGGCTTCTCTGTTGTTCCTTTGCTTGACCTCTTCCTGGCGTTGGGCTTTGATCTGTGCAACCTGGGCCTTGAGGGCGTCGCTCTCCTTCTTGAGCTTGGCATGCTCGGCTTGAACTGCCTGGGCCTTTTTAAGCTCGGTGTGAAGCGTTTCGTTCTCTTTCCTGATGGCACTGTCTTTCCGGCCCGAGTTCGTTTGGAGGCGGTTAGTCTGTTCTTCGTAATGGGAGAGATGATCGCGCAGCTCATCGTTCTCAGCGCGAAGGGCGTCAACCTCCTCTCGGAGACCTTCGTTTTCAGCTAAGAGCTCATCACGCTCCGTCTTGATCTCCTCCGAGTTGAAAAAGGCAACGCCGAGTTGGGTTACGGCATTGTCACGCTCCTCAGTGACCCTCTTCTTAGCGATGTCGTTTACAGAGTGCTTGCGCTCCGCACGCTCCAGACGATTGCGAAGGGAGTCGACTTGAGATTGCAAGCCTTGTGGCTGTTAATACAAAATATGGGAAGGGATCGTGGTTGGGCACTTACGCGTCTTCTCACTTCGCCAGCTATCCTTCTTGTTTCCCTCACCATCAGTGGATCCCAGTGCGCTGTCACTGCGGCGCATCTCGTCCCGTGCAGTGAGCTCGGCTCTCAGCCCGGCGACTTGGGCTTCATACTCTTCGAACTTCTTTTCAGATTCGGCCTTGTCTTGTTCCATCTGGGCAAGCTTGTCCCTCAGCAACTGGAGAGAGGTATACAGAGCCTTTTCCTCGGATGGAATAGGCACGCTTTCAATGGGTGTGTGCTTCTCAGTCGTTTCCTCCCTCAAACGACTAGGAATCGGGGCGGCAGCAAAGCGCGACCGCGACTTTGCGTTGCGCGAAAAGACGGGTGTCCCATCCTTGTAAGAGCCCGAGACCAGCTCAGTGAGGTTCGGAAGGTCCGGGAGCATGAATGATTGATGTGTGCCAGTGCCGGTGTTGTGCGCTGCAGCGCGAGGGGTCGCGTAGAGGGATTTTTGGGGAGTCTGTATTGGGGTATCATTCACGATTCCGGAAGCTTGACGGGCGTGGTTTCCGAAACGTGGGTTCTTTGCGGTGAAGGTGCCGGTAGGTGGCCTTTCCATGAAAGACTCGTCGTCTTCGGCGGCTAGCCTGGCCAAGTTGGGACGAGTGGCATTCTTCCTCGGCGAGACGCGCTCGCCGTTCTTGCCCAAGCGTGCGGATATGTTCTCAAGGTCCTTCTGGGGCAGAGATGATGCGCGTCGGAGCTGGGCGTCGCGTCGAAGGTTGGCGCGATCAAGGCCGTCGCTCTTGCGCGGGGTGGAGCGCGGCTTTGGGCGCGCATTCTCCGAGAGGTTGTAGAGGCTGTCGTTGGCGATGCTGAACGACATGTCACCAAGAAACTTGTTGGGGTTGTTTTTATTGCTTCTGGGCTGACCGCGGCCAATTTCGATGGATCTGCTGTCCTCAAGCTCGTTGCTGTCGGAGAAATCGTGGAATTCCTGCTGGACTTGGGAGGTGTCGATGCGTTGGTCGGGCTTCGGGGGTTGCCAGTACTTGAACCTAGCGGCGCTCGAGCGCATGTTGGTGACGGGCTGAGAGTCGTCGTCCAAGCCGCGGTGGTTGGTGGACTCGGGGGCGTTGTCCAGGGCGGGGTCGAAGGTGGAGTCGGTGTTCAAGTCGAGCTCGGCGCTGGGCAGAGTGTTTGTGTCGTCTTGGTGGGCGAAGGAGGACGGGTGAGGAAGGGGCGAACTGCGTGACTCCCTCAGGCTCTGAGACATTTCCCGAATCAAGCGAGAGCGGGATGCGCTGGGGCTGCCGTCGGGTGATGGAGCCATGAATGTTGGGCGGATAGACGGTGGCGCAACGTCGGTACCGCGAGGCAGTGGCAGCGGCGTGTTCAGGTAAGATGGCGAGGTGCAATTGAGGAGGTGAGGGGTAAATAAAGTGCGGCGGGGTTGGGGAGTGTGTGCAGTGCACAGGCTTAGTCCATGCTGCGGTGTTGGTGGAGAAGTCGCGTCGCAGTGGGGAGGAGCAGCTCTGTGTTGACGCCAGACCCAGACGTAAACAGTGCCAAGCAAACAATGCTTAGTCATCACCGGCAGCCCCAACCCGCCGCTCTCGCAGTCTCGGCTCCCGCCCAGGGTTTGCGTCAACAATCCGTCCGCTCACTCGCAGACATCCTCTCTGCCCGCTGCTGAATGCCAATCCCATCCGTCCTTAGCGCTGCTTCCGTTGATGATGAACAATGGCGTGAAAATCACCTGCACGTCACCGTTTCGATAGTCTCATCGCGACATCTGTCGTGCTCTGCCTATTATCTATGCTACGCACTCGTTAATAATCAAAAGTATGCAAAGACAACACCAAAGCAAGCACCGTCAATGAAATGTTCCTTTCGCAATGGAAACTACTACTTCTGTTCAGCATAATCATGATTGGGAGAATGACCACTTGCGCCCAACCCGAGGCAACGAGGAAAGCGAAAGATTGCCCTGCCTGTGAGAACAGCTTCTTCCGTCTTTCCCACCGATACAATATTAATTGGCCGTGCAATTTACGCGCAGAGAGAAAACGAGAGAGCCCGTCTGGCCCCACCTGAACGAGTAACCATGGGGGCAACAGCGCCCCGACGAGGAAAGACAGCAAGGTGTGAAACTCCAGTCGCCCCATGAGCCGGCCAGCCAGTGAAAGAAGGGAAAGGGACAACTGTGGATCGGGTGAAATATCTGACCGATGATATGGATATGAGTCGCCGAAAGGGGTTGTCGATGAGAGAACTTCTACGCCCTGATGAGGTCTGCTCCCCCATCGCAAAAAGCAAATGCCCGATGTACCCCCGTAGAAACCCATATTACGAGAAAGGAGAACTACCTATTTTGTGATGCCCGCGCCTCCCTAAGCAAGCAAGCAAGCAAGCAAGCAAGCAAGCAACCCTGATGTCCTCCCTGCCATTTCTAACCATTACAATCCCTTGAGAAGAACGACTCGATTATAGGAATGATCCAGAGCCAGCCTAAGAAAGGTGGAATGCGCCCTGACCTTCCTTGATTGCCACAAAGAGTTTCTCCTTGAGCGTATCAAGGCTGCTGTAATCCGGCATCTTGAGATAGTTGACGCAAGTCATGACGCTAGGAAGGTAGTCGTCCGACGTGTACGGAGGCTCGCTTGGCTTGCACACCACCGTAAACATCGGCGTGAGGGACTTGAAGCCTGTGGGAATCGTTAGCATATGTACCGGGTAGTGGTAGCGGTGCCAATACTTACCACCAATGGGCAGCTTGGGGCTGCCAGTGACGAACTGAAGGAAGTCACGGCGCTGAGATGCGGTGAGCTCACTCATGACTTGCAGCAAGTTTCGGACGCTCTTGCTGTCGAGGTTGTAACCATGGTCGGCCTTGATCGAGTCCATAAGTGTTTCCAAGGTCCAGTCTTCATCCGTGCGACCGAAGAGCATCACGAGCTCATCCGAGGTGAACGCCCGCAACGCCGAGTAGGGGAAGACCTGAGAGAAGCCTGTGCGGAATGCGTCCACCTGCTTCTGTACGCCGCTTCCCAAGGTAATGTCCAAAACCTTCTCGACGTATAGAGCGACGTTTTCGATAGTGACGGACGTGTTCGCTCCATCTTGCACAAGCTCTATGTTGGGATAGCCGGGAAGAGTAAAGTCAAGGCCTAGGTCTTCCACATGAGCACCATCGACTTCGATTGCTTCGATTGCCGAGACCTTCAGAGCGGGTGTCATGTTGGGGTCCTCGTCGATCCTCTTCTTCTCCTTGGCGAATTTCTTCAGCAAGACAAGTGCCCGGGCAAGGTCGGCATCGACAGTCTTGACGGCGCCCAGAGACGGCTTAACGGCCGTGTTGTCTCCAATGCGGAAGAAGGTAGGATTGAAGGACACGTCAATGATGCGCGAGTCGAGCATAGAGCGGGCAACAAACTTGCCGAGAATCTTGAAGAGGTGAAGTACCTTCTTGCCGTCCTCGGTCTCCGCTTGCTCCGCACTGATTGGGGCAGGGAAGAGTCCACGCTTGCCGAACGCAAACTCGTCTTTTTCAGGTGACTCGTTCTCCCGCCAAAGTTTGAGCTTCTTCTTGGAGAACTCCTTCGAAACCGTAGAATAGAACTCCAACGTCGGCCCAAGACCGGTTCCGACTTCCTCAAAGTACTCGACCTCGAGGACGCTGGGTGAAGAACCGTAGAGCTCCATGACCTTGATGGCCGACTCAAGAATCTTGGTGCGCGAAATGCGCACCTTCTGGCGTTGGACCCTGCCCAAGAAAGGCCTCTCATCGCGGTGACGGTCGTGGCGGGAGTCAGTGGTGGATTGCGCGTTCTGCCACCTTGCCATAGACCTAGAATAGCCGAACGAAGTCGACTGAAGAAAGAGATGGCGCGTCTCGAATGGGAACAAGAACGGATGGAGCCTAGCCAGATCCTCGCTCCAGTTAGGAAGGCAGTTGCTAGCCACTATGAGAGGCTCCTCAAGCTGTCGGTTCAGCTTCGCAGTGAGCTTGGTGTTCACGAATTGGGACAACGGCTCGGCGTTGACCTTGATAGTGTCCTTCTTCTCGGAAAGAACATCGTCAAGGTTGGCGTTCAGCTCATGGAGAATGCTGAGCAGGCGCAAGATGGATGATGTCGTCGGGTTCTTGTTCAATGAGTGGGGAACCCCGTTCGCATCGGATGCTGTTTCCGGAGGAGGAGTCAGTCCGCTGGACTCTGCAGGAGGTGGTCCAGTCGCCTTCTTGAACTTGATCGTGTGCGTCGGAGACCAAATATTGCGAGAAGCGTCAGCTCCGTCAGTCTGGCTCATGTGAACGGCACGGTAGATTGTGGTCTCGTTCGAGATAGGTTGATCGTTGACGCAGAACTCAATGTGCCAGTCTTGAGGGACAGCCTGGATAGCAGCAGCATATGACATGGGCCTCGAAGAAGTGGGGGTTCCGCCAAGCAGGTTGCGTGAATACGCAAGGCTGGCAAGTTGTTCGGTGGCCATCCTCTCTGCAAGAGAACGATCGGCCTGGGCCGCGCGTGCTGAGGATGGCGTGGAACCACCCAAAGGCGTCGCAACCCTGGTACCATCATCCTTGTGTGCTGTAGCCCTACCATTCGAAGCAACCTCTACGCTGACTGCAGACGGATCAGGTAGATCCTCATCCATCTCATCCTCAAGGTCGTCAACGATCGCGTCCAACCCATCTCCGTCACCCAAGTCGTCTTCATCAGACAGCTGGGCTTCGTCAGCGCATTCGAGAGGATCTCTGATATCATCGAGTGAGGATGGAGCAGGCGGGGGCGGCGGGGGCGGCGGGTTGGTCTGATCTTGACGCTTCCGGCTGGAGCGCCTAGGAGCAGAACCAGACTGCTTGGCCGGCGGCGTGCTAGCCTCGGGGTTCGTGCTTGACCCTGCTGCCGCCTTAGACCTCGTGGTCCTCTTCGATGCGGAAGTGCGGTTCGTGGTATCTGTTGGGGCCGGCAAAGGCGGTGTAGATGGGACATCTCGGCCTCCAAGACCAGCGCTACGACCCGCAATAGCCGCAGCGTATGCTGCAATTGCACCAGAAACTCCATCACGGGCCCTGCCAGAGGGCCTAGGCCGTTCGGCAAGAGCAATGCGAGGCCGCAGATAGTCGTCTAGCGCCTTGAAAGTGGCAATGGCGTGAATGGAGACCATGATGTTCCTGTATGCTCGAGGGATGCCAGAATCCTCATCAGCAACCAGTTTCAACCTGAGCTGCTTAGCGAGCATGGATGCAGCGGAGCTGCGGTTGCTGTCAAATGTGTTTTGATGAACCGTGATGACCTCAAAGTGTTCCGCGCGACTGAGCAAATCCTGAAGCTTGCTCACGAGAATGCTGAAAGGTGTGACGGGAGAGGCAATGCTTGCAGTTTTTTGCTTGCTCTGGTTGGTAGTGCCCATGAAAGCCTCGAGAAACGCGGTTCTTGCCTCCAACTTGCTGGACACGTTGGAGTCGGCGAAAAGCTCGAGAAGCACATCAACAATTCCCGACGTCAGAAGCTCATAGCTCGTGATGCTTTCGAGAGCGTCTCCATCGAAGTACTCGGCTAGACGGACGAAGAGCTCGTCGCCCGTGTTGCAGACGGTGCCGGAGTAGCAGGTTTTGATCTCCTGAGCCAAAGACTTAAGATCTTCTAGGATGGCCAAAGCCTTTTCACGCATTTCTTTGCCCTGGTCAGTCTCATGGACTTCCATGAATTTCTTGGCACGCAGCGTGATGATGTCGTCGACGTTAGGCATAGGTGCCCGATCATAACGTTCGCCGGATGAGGAAGACGAGTTTGAGTCGTCATCATCGTCCTCATCGTCATGGTGGTCATCGTGCTCGTTTTCTTCATCTTCGTCCGAATGCATCTCATCCTCCGGGCCATCATCCATTTCACGATCGACGTCTTCGTCGCCGGCATCACTACTGGCTTTGCTGGAAGAACCATAAGGCTCCGCATCCAGAGCGGGCTTGGTAGGCTTCTGCTTTTCCAAGTCCTTCGTAGGCCGGTCGGCCAGACGTGAAATTTCCGAAATCACACCTTCGCGGTAGAACTGATAACGATAGATGGACTCGAGGCGCTTCAAGAGAAGTTCCGCGGCCTGCAGAGCGAAGGTGACCAATGACGGATGGTCTTGCTGCGAAAGGATGGATGCCAGATAAGAAGCATAAGGGACGGCCCGAAGAGCCTCTTTCAGGATATCCGCATCCAAGTTGGACAGCATTTTCAACTGAGCAGTCAAGACCTTCTGTCGAACGCTAAGATTGACGGTGCTGGAGTAGGCGTCCGTCAAGGTGGGCAGAAGAATGATGGCAAAGCGCCTGACTTCTTCCTTGCAGTCATCCAAGAGCTCCAATCTCTTGTCATTCGGCGACTTCCTCGACCTAGTTGACATGGGAAGGTACTCGTCTCCATGGTATCCAGCATCGAAAATGTCGTCCAAATAAGTAAGACCATCCTTCTGGACGTTGGGCAGCAGCTCGCAAATCACGTTGAGGGTCTCGAAGACTTGCTCACGAGGGCGGTGGATCAAAGCTTGCATGATGACAACGCTGTCGATCTTGGTGGCAATGTCCTCGGTGCCGTCGGGCGGAGACACGCCCGTCAGGATCTGATAGAGGGTATCAACGACCTTCATCTTGAAGAGCTCCACAGAGAGCCGAGGCGAGGCGCGTGCGGTGATCGACAAAACGCGGAGGAAAAGAGTGTGGATGTTCTGCCCAATGAGGTTCGTGGTTCCCGGCAACAGCAAACGGAGGATCGCCTGCAGCAATTCAGGGCTGACCAGCTCTTCTAATTTGGCGTCTTGGTACTTGAAACTTTCCACAATGCGGGAAACGCAGTAGCAACCCTGCTCCACCACGCGCTGATCACTGCTATTGAGTACGTTGAGGAGAATTGGCATGACATCGCGGACGGTGGGGAAGCAATCCTCTGGAATATTGCGGCAGCAATTGGCCGCCGTGGTCACTGCCGTCCTCTGCGTGCTAGTGGGGAAGAAGTCGAGATATGTGAGGCAGGCGTTCAAGCCGCCCTCTCGGACAATCGATGATGGAAATTCGACGGAAATCTTCTCTAGTGTCTTGTGACTGTCAGCGTGATAGCCTGGGGGCTGCAATGAGACTTACGCTGAGGGCCTGTTCGGCCAAGTCGATGAAGTGAATTTCAAGAAGCTTCTGGCACAAGATCGGAACCGCGCCGCCGTAAACGACGTTGGCGGTGGCAGCTGGAAGAGCTTCCATGAGGTTGGCTATGCAACGGCACGCAAGGAGCATGATTTCCGGATTCTCTTCACCGAAATCGTTGGGTTGCATGAGCGAAACAAGCTCTTTGACATACTGATCAGGCGGGAAGTGTCCCGCAAGGTTATCTTCGGTCGACACAAGCAAGATCTCGGAAAGCTCTTGCAGGGCGATCAACTGCACCGACGGGTCGTCTTTCTGCCTCAAGTTCTCCAAGATGTTGCGCAGGCGCGAGGACATGCCTGACATCATGCCACTCAGTGCTCGCAGCGTATGCGACAGGCCAGAAGGTCCTCCAGGACGGCCGAGGAAGCCGCCTCCGAACGGATCATCGTCGTCATCATCCTCGTCGTACCGCGGAGGCATTCCGACCTCTCCAGTGCTGTCGTCGCTCATGCCATGCCGACCTCTGTCCGCGCCCTCATCTTGTCCTTCCACGATGTCATCGTCATCCCTCATTGTAACATCCTCGTCAGTCTTCGCTGATTGTTTCTTGGAGCGGCGAGTGGAAGGCGAGGTCGAGGTGGGCGGGTCTGCGAGAGGATTCAGCATTGGGGGATCTTGAGGGTGGCGCGCTGACGGAGCGATGTGATGCGCACCTTGGGGGTTCTTGCGGCTGGTCTTGCGCCTCGACGACGACTGGGTTGCTGTGGGGTTCGTCTTTTCCTCTGAGGGTCCCGATGATGGTCTGCACATGTCAGCGGGCTGGATTGATGGGGAGGGAGGATCAGGACTGTACCCCGCGCTGGACATGGCCGTATCTGCTCGGCTGCCTTTCCTCGGGCGAGAGGTGGCGGACGGGGCGGGTGCGGGGGGTTCCGCAGCGTCAACCTTGACCCGTTTGCTTGTGCGCCTCGAAGCTGAAGCGCGTGCGGGCTCAGGCTCCGGGAGCTTTGGCTGCTCCGGACTGGTCTCGCGAGCGGGTGCTTTCCGTTTCCGCGTCGTGGGCGGCGCCCGAGCAGGTGTGGTATTGGGGTTGGGTTGGGCGGGCGGCTGACTGGAAGAACCTGCTGCTGAGAGCCTCGCAGAAGAGCGAGTGACTCTGGAAGACATGAGAAACTGATTTGCACTGACGGTGGTGCGGTGGATGATCCTGACTGGGGTGCGGCGTAGAGGGCGTCGCAGTGTCGTGGATCAAGGAAGGCAGGCGGGAGGGTGGAGCCCGTTGCGTTGGTCACGACCGCGGCCGTGTTGCAGTGCAGGGCAAAGAAAGGTTGGCGGGGCTGTACCTAGAAGAGAAAGGCGTCGACGTCGAAGATGCGTGCAGCTGTCCAGGTGAATGTGCTGGTGAATGACACTCCCGGTCCATGCCACTAATCTACGACCTGGCGGCCATAGGCGGGGCGTGCAGGCGGTGTTCGAAAGCGGAGGCGGTGTGGTGCGAGCTGCTGACGAGCCGTTCGAAACGATCAGATGCCGCCAGGATGGAAAAGGAGGATGGGGAGGGCGTGCGGTGGGTGTAGTTGAGATAGACGTAGATGGGGTTCGCTTTCGGCGATTAACGCACTGGCTGCGGAGCCAGGCTTGCGCTTAATCAGAGCTGTCCGTGTCTCAGCGGCAAGCCCATTTCGACTCGCGCGCTTGACCCACCCGGCGCGCCCCCGCTCTGCGCCTGTCGCCGCCCCCCGTCAGCCCAGGCCAGCAGCACGCGAGCAATCACGAATTGGCCGCGCCGTCTCGCGGCGGTCCGTTCACTCATCCCACCCACGACTTGGCTGTCTCAGGTGGCGGCGTCGCCGTGCTGGGCTGCGCGGGCTGCGCGGGCTCCGCACGCTGCGCACGCCGCGCACGCTGCGAGCCGGCACGCGTCGCAGCATTCGCATTCACAGAGCGCAGGCGCGGCGCAACAGGTGCCGCCGCGCATTGCTCCAAAACGGCAGGATATGGCGCAATGCCGCCGCCAGGGACCGGTTGCCTCGCTGGGAAAGCCCACGCATGACGTTGATCAGCCCGCGATAGCCGGTGCCTGGTCGCAGGCTGAGGCATCTAGGTACGCCCGGCCGTGGGGTCACGATGGCCCCAGGCCCCGATGCAGCGATATCGGGAAATGGAACTCGCCTACGGTGCGGCCGCGGCGCCAGCCTTTCAGTGCCAGCTTTGACGGCGTGCGCTTCAAAAGGCGGCTGCCCGCCACCACTCAGCAGCTTATAAACTGCCCGGCCCGCCGCTTGCAGGAAGGGTCTCCGTCGCTTTTTTTCCCATTCGAGCGCGCCTGCTAAGCCGCATATTGCGTAGTTAGCCCGAGCTGCACCGCCGTGACCCCTCATCGTTAGTTTAGCTCGGTCGTTTTCCGACCCCGCTAGGCCTGCTCTACCGTACCGCGAAAACGGTTCCTGGCCCTTGTCCGCCAACAGACTGTTCCCTCGAGCCGGCACCAGCCCGTCTACTTGAACCGCTCACCCGCCCGGCCTTTGTCTCACGTCCACGCGCTCTTTCGCCGCTCGCTGTACCCCGACGCCCCTCTCCGGCCGATCCGCCTCCGCCGCCTTGCGCACAAGCCTCGGACGTCATACAATCGACTCATATCGCCGCCGACCGCCGTCGCGCACCACTTTACTTCACTCAAACAACTCCTCCCTTCCCCACCAGTGTCGCCATGTCCCAACAAGAGACCGCCACCCCGAACGGCGTCGACTCGCTCGCCACCTATGAGTTCCCGACTCAACGCCTGAAGAAGGTGTTGAGCGACAGCGGGAGGACGCCCTTGGTCCTCGTCGCTTGCGGCTCCTTCAGCCCGATCACATACCTGCATCTCCGCATATTCGAGATGGCGTTGGACTGGGTGAGGTACAATACGGAATTCGAAGTTGTTGGTATGTTGTGGTGCCCTGTTTCTTGGCCATGGAATAGCCCAGACGCTGACTTGGTGTTATATAGGCGGGTACTTGTCGCCTGGTAAGTGCTTGGGAGTCTCCACCAGCTTGTTTGCCGCTGACATGGCCTCTGCACAGTCGGCGACGCCTACAAGGTATGTCATTTATTTATTTCATGTGGCGACGCACACTCTATGGTGCATGAACGCAGCCAAAGACCCCTCACCTCTTGCGGTCATGCGCTGGACAATCTTTCCAAACATGCTCCACATCGGCACTCATCAGCCGGATTCGTCAGCCGAGCTGACTCAACAAATTGCGACGATCATGTATATGGGCTTTGCTGACAAAGGAACAGAAAGCAGGGTTAGCCTCATCAGAACACCGCAACAACATGTGCGAGTTGGCAGTCGAAGATTCGTCATGGATTTCTGTCGACAAATGGGGTACGTAGGACCGCTCATGCAGGGCTCATGCACATAGCGCTGACGTCACGTGAACAGAACCGTTGCACAAGGAGTATCTGCCGACGGCAAAAGTTTTGGATCACTTTGACCATGAGCTGAACGAAGTTCGTGGTGGAATTGAAGACTACAGCGGTCAGAAGAGGAAGGTCAGGGTTGCACTGCTTGCTGGAGGTAAGTCCGCTGTAATGGACGGTGCGCCATCTAACGAAGTACTGACGACATGACGTGCAGCCGATTTGATTCAGACCATGTCGACACCGAGTAAGGCTTGAATCTCCCCCTCGCGAAAATGCAGCGAGCTAACCTGCGACCAGACCTCTGGGCACCAAAGGATTTGGACCACATTTTGGGCGAGTGTAAGTCTTGACCACGCCGAATTGTTGCATTGATTTGTTCTAATAGCTTGCAGATGGTGCATTCATCGTTGAACGTGAAGGTAAAAGTCACCATAAACTTGCAACCTCAACTTGACCTAACGGGTGATTAGGCACGGACATTGATGATGCACTCGCCAGTCTTCAACAATGGCGTGACAATATTTAGTAAGTAATGTCTGTGTGGCTCAGAGTATCCAACGTTTAACAGCTGCAGTGTCATCCACCAGTTGGTGAAGAACGATGTGTCCAGCACAAGAATCAGGCTCTTCCTGAAGAGAGACATGTCCATCCGTTACTTGGTGCCGGAGCCAGTGATCAAGTAGGCATCGATACTCGATGACCATAGGGCAGCGTGCTAAACTCAATTAGGTACATCGAGGCTACCGGCCTGTACCGCGACGACGGCGAGAAGAGGGACGACAAGGGCAAGGTGACAGCGACGTCCAGCTCTTCGTAGGTGGCCTGCGAATTGGATCGCACCCTCAACCCCGAGCATTCCGTCAGCACGCATGGCCGAGGATTCGCAAGCAGCATTTCAGGGCCTGTCAAGAGAAGGACAGAGTTGACGAGAGTCTCACGCTTGGCGTGATGGCATGATTTACGGTAGTATACCACAAGAAGGCCCGAACCATGGGCCGGGTGGCTTCGCATTGAGATTTGGGCGTTTTTCGGAGATTAGAGCACGACGAGAAGCCGTCACCGGCATTGGAGAAGGCCTGCGTCATTGCTAATTCTCAATTCATATACGTAGTAGGAGTAGCCGTAGAGACTGCATGATACCAATTTTTTGAAAATTTGCATCAACTGGAAGGCGCACGTCCTCGGGTCATCTCAGAGCAGTGCCCCATAAGAGCGGTGTGGAATCCAAGAGCTCTCTATATCAGGGCAGCTGCCCTCCCATTTCTTGCGCGCTGTTGACATGATGTTTGCATTGCAAGACGATGATAAGCAGCTCATGTCCGGTCAGGGGCCAGTTGGTGGTTGGCTCGGGGGCAGACAGGGAAGCATGCCAGGTCTGTTTAGAGAGCTCTACGTTCGCCTTTACAGCTGTTGCTTGCAAACCCATGCCGAACTGGGTTGCACAGGATGCTTCGTCCAGAATTGCAGCGCGGAACCAGGAAGACGCGGCTGATCGACGTCATCGGCGCATTGACGCAGGGATCCCCCAGACTTGTGTGTCGACCGCAGAGGGTGTTGGATCGGTGAGTTGCCACAGCAACTCCGCCGCGCCGTTCAGCTGGCGCCCAGATCGCGGCCGCCCAGCATGAGCCACCAGCCACTCGTTCAGATGTGAAGGAGCGCGCGCGTAGGTAGACACGTTACTGCTGTTCAGACCCATCACTATCTTCTCTCTCTTTGCTTTTTTTCTTCGAGCGTGCTTTTTCGCCGCCTTCCGTTCTTCGCGTTTCTTCTCGTCTATCGACCTGCCCATTCATTTTTCCCTGCGCCGTGCCGTGCGCCGCACCAAACGTCCCCGCCGCATTCAACCGCCCTCTCGCCCAGCATTCGTTCCACGGGCTGCCCCCAACCAAAGCGTGAATAGAGAAGAAGAAAAAAAAAAGAAAAGAGAAGGGACGACACCGCCCAGTCCCAATGCCTCGGGACCACCACTACGAGTCGCCCGGCCGCTCCAGCCGCGAGCGCGACAGCTACTCCCGCTCCCGGCCACGCGAAAGCGAAGGGTACCGCTCCGAGCGCGAACGCGAACGGCTGCGACGCCAACGCCAACGCCGCGACAACCACAACACCGACGACGACAACGACGAGAACGACAACGCCGAAGAAGAACGTCGACGCCGCCGCGAGCGCGCCGCCAGACGCACCAGCCAAGAACCCACCAGCGACCGCGAACACCACCACCGCGAGCCAGCCCGCCGCCACCGCGAACACTACGACCACGCGCAGCGCGAGCGACAAGAGCGCCGCCGCCGCCGCGGCCACCGCGCCACCGACTCCGTCGGCGAACCCATCCCGGCGCCGCCGCCTCCGCTCCGCCACCCGGAGCGCTCATACGACTCGCCCTACCACGGCAGCGGCGGCGGCGGCGGCGGCGGCGGCGGGGGGTCGACGCCCACCAGCCCGACGAAAGCGCGACAACAACAACAACAACACAGGCCGCGGCGAGGGAGCGGCAGCGGAGGCGGCGGAGGTGGCAATGGCGGGTGGGACACGCCGGCGAGCCGGGACTCGGGGGCGAGCGCGCGGCCGCTGCTGCAGGCGGATGCGCTGGCGCAGCTGGACGCGAGCAACGCGAAGAAGGGCGGGTGGAAGGCGGGCGGGTACGACGAGGCGTACTTGAAGCGCGTGCGCGAGCAGGAGAAGGGGTTGGAGAGGGAGAGGCAGCGCGAGGAGAGGAGGGAGAGGCGGCGGGCGAAGGAGGAGGAGAAGGAGGCGCTGGCGCGGGGGGAGCGGGAGAAGAGGAGGAGGTATGAGGCGGAGATGGGGTTTAGGCGGAGTGGGCGTGTGGATGTCGAGTTGGAGGATGATGATGAGGAGGAGGAGGCGCCGCTGCATAGGCCCGGTGGGATGGATGGGATTAGGGTGAGGGGGCTGGAGGAGGAGTATCCGGAGCCGTATACGGATGATCCGTACACGGATGATGCTGCGGAGCCGAGGAGGAGGCGGAGAGATTATTCGGATGGCGAGAGGGAAGAGAGGAGACAGAGGAGGAAAGAGAGAGCGCTTGCGGCCACGGCGGTTGCTGGGAGACAGAGGAAGAGTCGAGTCGTCAGCGGGCCGTTGCTGGAGGAGGGCGGGAAAGAGGAGTACGAGTACCGCATGGCCCACCGCGGTGGCGGTGGCAGCGGCGACGTCTTCTACGATGAGGAGCTGAAGAAAAAGAAACGGAAGAAGATCTTCATCATCGTTGGCATTGTCGTTCTCATCCTGGCAATCGTCATTCCTGTTGCCGTGGTGGTGTCAGGAAAGAAGAGCAGCGACAATGGCGGCGATGACTCTTCTGCAAGCTCTTCGGACTCGAGCAAACCGGACAACAGTAACCTGGACACCATATCTGAGGACGACATTCCCGATTGGGCAAAGGGGGGGCTTCTGGATCCATTTTCATGGTACGATACCGAAGACTTCAATGTCACCTTCACCAACGACACGGTTGGAGGTCTGTCGGTCATGGGTCTGAACACAACCTGGGACGACAGCGTCCAGGCGAACGAGAACGTTCCGGCTTTGGACAAGGAGTTCAAATATGGCGAGATGCCGATCCGCGGTGTCAATGTCGGCGGCTGGTTCAACCTTGAACCTTGGATAACGCCATCGTTTTTCGAATCCTACAACACTCGAGATGGGGTCATTGACGAATGGACACTTACCACGAGTATGGGCAGCACAAAAGCCAAGTCGACTTTAGAGCAACATTACTCGTCCTGGATCACAAAGCAGTCCTTCGCCGATATCCGAGACGCAGGGTTCGACCACGTCCGCATTCCGTTCAATTACTGGGCAGTGACTACATACGATGGCGATCCATATGTCGCCAAGGTCTCTTGGCGTTATCTTCTCCGTGGCATTGAATATGCACGACAACAGGGTCTTCGTGTCAATCTTGATCTTCACGGGCTGCCTGGCAGTCAAAACGGCTGGAACCATAGCGGAAAGCAGGGCGCCATCGGGTGGTTGAACGGAACTGATGGCACGCTCAACAGACAGCGTAGTATCGACATCCACGATCAACTGTCGACGTTTTTTGCCCAAGCCCGCTATAAGAATGTCGTCACGCTGTATGGGCTGGCCAACGAGCCACGCATGGTGGACCTCAACACGGCCGATGTTCTTGGGTGGTACGACGACGTGATTCCGCTTATTCGGAAGAACAACATCACGGCCATTCTTGTCTTCGGCGACGGCTTCATGGGCTTGGACAATTGGCAAGGAAAGCTGCAAGACTACGAGGATCTACTCCTGGACGTGCACCAGTACGTCATCTTCAATGTCGACCTGATCAAGTTCTCGCACTCGGAGAAGATCAATTTCGCTTGTAAAGGCTGGACACAGCAGTCACTTCGTTCGATGAACAAGTCGACGGGCTTCGGACCTACAATGTGCGGTGAATGGTCGCAGGCCGACACGGACTGCACGCAGTACATCAACAATGTCGGCTGGGGCACGCGCTGGGAGGGCACGTACAATACTGGTAACGAGAGCACCTCGGTCCTCACTCCCACCTGCCCTACGGATAACAACCCCGTCTGCTCCTGCAACAATGCCAACGCCGACCCGTCCGACTACAGCGACACGTACAAGCAGTTCCTTCTCGACTTTGCGTTAGCACAGATGTACAGCTTCGAGCAGGGCTGGGGCTGGTTCTATTGGACGTGGAAGACGGAGAACGCGGTCCAGTGGAGTTGGCAGAGCGGGATGCAGGCGGGGATCCTGCCGGACAAGGTTTGGGATCGCAGCGCGTTCTCGTGCAATACGAGTGATATCCCAGACTATTCGGGTTTGGGGTTGGCGGAGAATTTCTAAAGCTCCGAAACATTGTTGGATGCTTTTGTTAGCGCTTTCTTGTCCTCCAGAATTGGAATGTCTTTGTTGTCATGGTTTTGGGTTCTGGCATAGCGATGATGGCATGTTGTAATGAGGGAATGGATAATAATGAACCAGATGAGGGCCTCTCGGTTCCCACGCATTCGGCTTAGAAATGCACTGTTGGACGACCTCATGATGAGCTGTATAGAAAGCTATCTGTGTTCCGCCTGTTGCCCTCCACAACGAACAAGTGCTTTTATCCTTTCTAGATCCTTTCTTGCCCTTCTGCAACTTCTCGTACGAATTGCCCTGGGGGATGGACTTGAAGATATTTATCCCTTCGTTCTACACTGCATAGATTGTACCCTCGGCCGGTGCTGGCTCTACATTTACTACGGTTACGCAGCGAAGCATTGAGGGCATATACGAGGTTGCGTCGGCATCGCCGACCTGTGCCGTATGCCTTGTGCGACTGTCTGGCCAGATGACACGACAAAGTCGAAAGACAAGCGCAGATCAGGCGTGACTGGAGTACGCTCTGCGGGAGAGAGATTGAGTAATGTGTCCGGGAGAGGGACGGCGCAGTTCTGTGCCGACGACTCATCACCGCGGCCACCCAATGCTCTGAGGGGATATTGGAGAGGGTTTTCCTGAGTACCGGTCAGATCTATCGACAAGCTTTTCTGCGAGGGCAGCGATTTGAAAGATTGAACGTAGCGAAGCCGTCGAGAAGTTGCCAAACCGTCCCTTCGGGGTCGATCAAACACGGCCCAAGCATCTGGAGCACGCAAAGCAACATAAGCTAGCTGAATACGGATGACGTGTGCGAAAGAAATGCTAGATCACGGCTACGAGCCGTGTAAAGACAAGCTCGGTGGAGTGTTCGGGACATGTGTAGCATCTGGTGCGAATGAGAGAGAAACCGACACCGCTGAACGAAGACTAGATCCCTTCTAGTCAAGTGTCTTGCGGCTCGGACTTAAGAAAATGGTCAAGTGGTGGATTTTCACAGCCACGCCAAGGCCGCGTCAGCGCTTTCGACATCCCGCGCGTGGCCGTTCGGTCCCTCCCGGCCACCACGCACAGCTGCGTTTGCTCCAGAGACACACGCGCAAATAGCCCCACTGCCTGCCACCGCCATGCGTACAATCACTGCGCCCCCTCGTGGGTGGTGCCATGGAGACGAAGATTAGCCGCATCGAATCTAGCCCACGTCGTCACCACTCGACCGTGCTTCCCTGCTGTCGTGTCTTCGTGAACGGGATAGAAAAGCCCGCGCTGCCGTCTCCACAAGCATGATATCTAGCAACTCACTCGTTTCTCAGCCCTGCGACTAATCGCAGCAGGTGGCCAGCCCGGAGCGACATCACCACCATCACCTTTCCCGCCCTAACCCAAATAGGCAATAAGCCACCCCATCACCACCATCGACACCAACAATGCCATCCAACGCCCCCATCAACGCCGCCAGGCTATCGGCCTTCCTGATTACTACCGCCATCCTCCCCACCCTCACCGCTGCCCAATCGTACTCGTCGTGCAACCCAACCAACACGTCGCAATTCCCCTGCCCGGCCGACACCGGTCTGTGCCAATCGACCGTCTTCGAGACGGACTTCACGACGGGCGACAACACCAGCTGGACCACGACGGCGGGCAACGTCACGTACTCGGATGCGGGCGCGGCCTTCACCATCGCAGAACGGGGCGACGCGCCGACCATCGAAACGGACTTTTACATATTCTACGGCCGAGTCGAGGTGACGATGAAAGCGGCGCCGGGGACAGGCATCGTCAGTTCGATCGTAATCGAAAGCGACGACCTGGACGAGATCGACTGGGTCCGTCTCCCCCTCTCCCCCCCTCCCCCCCAAAAGACCCCCCAACACTGACAACACACCCACCCCACAGGAATTCCTCGGCGGCTCCAACACCATGGTCCAATCCAACTACTTCGGCAAAGGCAACACCACCTCCTACGACCGCGAAGCCGAGCACGCCGTCACCACGCCCCAAGACACCTCGCACGTCTACGCCATCGACTGGACAGCCTCGCGCATCGAGTGGCTGATCGACAACACGACGGTGCGCACCCTCGCCTACGCCGACGCCGTGTCCGGGCAAAACTTCCCGCAGACCCCCGCCACCGTCCGCCTCGGCATCTGGGCCGGCGGCGACGAAGACAACTCGTACTGGACCCGCGTCTGGGCCGGCGGCAACACGACGTACAGCGCGGCGGCGGGCATGCCGTGGACGATGACGGTGGAGAAGGTGGCGGTTACGAATTACGGCCCGGCGGGGAGTTATAACTATACGGACTCGACGGGGGATGCGGGCAGTGTGGCGTTGATTGGGACGGATTGTGGTGGGAGTGACGGTGGGAGCAGCAGCAGCAGTAGCAGTAGCAGCAGCGGTAGTAGCAGCAAGCGGACGGCGAGTGTGAGCGCGTATGCGGCGTCGACGCCGAGTGGCACTGGTGCTACTGCGACGCCCACGCCCACGCCGAGTGGGGGGACCTATGAGACCAGCGGTGGGGTCGAGAGGTTGGGTGGGGGTTTGAGGGAGTTTTTGTTCGGGAGCGTGTTTGTGGCGTTGCTTTTGCTTTGATCACGGCACCGGTCTTGGTCGTGTAAATGTCCTGGACGAGTGTTTGATATGAGTTAATAATGAGTTTATGTCATCCTTTTGCCGTGAGTGAAGAACCTTGCCGACCAATGAAGACCGAAACCGAATATATTGATTGGATTCGAAGGTAATTAATTCTCTGTCGTGGCACGGTAGTTTATGCGGTGCTTTTGTTTTATCTCTAGTACACCTATTAGCATTCTTTAATACCTAAGAATTAGCTTCACTGATGTTATCTCTCACACAAGTGAATTCAAGCTTAGCCTCTCACGAAGATAATTAAGTAATGTTTTTTTAGCTTACGAATGCACGGAATAAAAACCGAAAGTTGGTGTTGTCTATACGCCCGGGGTGAGCCAAAGTCTTGGGAGAACAGTCACTGCTAGACTGGCTTGGAAAACAGTTACCTGTTACCTGATCTGCTGTTCTCCTATTCCGATCTTCACTCACACGAGGAGCTTGCTCCTTCCTTTGCATAATAGTAACATGGCACATGAGTATTATAAAGTCTGCGTGTAGCACCGTTTTAGAGGCTTGTAAACGACTTAAAGCGAAGTGAGCCTTACAAGCAGCAAACTAAGCTGAACCTTCTAGCCCTCCGTGAGATCTGTCTTGAGAACATTACCCTACAACCCTCCGTTCACATGGTAATTCATGTACGAATCAATGCTTCTGATGTTCTTATTAGCGAAAGAAGCTCACTTCCACAGAGACTAATATCAACTTGAACCTTCTCCGCAGTCATCTGAACATCAAAATCCTTTGAAGAAGATAGTCCTCCATTTCCTACATCGTTATCTTCGTGTAGATTTCGCAAGGAGAAGAGAGAAGGGAAAGCACGTGCTCAAGATACCCCATAAGTGATCGATCTACACATGTCCAATCCCAAGAAGGCCCGCTTCCCATCTCCACGTGCCATTGTCATCGATATCCCGTTATCCGGCCATTTTCACCGATCTGATCTTTTCCCTCAAAATCCCAGTCCTACTTCAATTCCCCCGTCCCCGCAGACTTCAGAGCAAGCTCTTGATCGTCTGTCCAGCCTCCCACGTCTCGCCGCCCTCGAGCGTCGTCCACTGCTTCACCGCGCCCGCCTCGACGCACACCATGCGCGTGTACGCGTCATCGGGACCAAAGTCGCTCATGGCGGCCGCCTTCTCCTTCCACGGGTTCCAGACGACCGTGTCGGGCAGGTTGTCGCGCACCACGTCGTAGCGCGGCTTGCTGTCGACGAGCACCGACGTCGTGCTCTGGGGGATGGCGCTGTAGACGCGGTCCGTCTCGCCCGCGATGGTCAGGTTGGCTTCCGACTGCGTGTGCGTGCTCGCGTCGAGCACCTTGTCCGTGTACGAGACGCCGAGGAGGCCCGTGACGCTCGTCTTGCTGATGTCCTGCATGTTGCCAAACCCCCACCGCCGCACGTCAGCCCCTGAAAAAAAAAGAAATGGGAAACACCGAAACACGAGTGAAGGGCTGGGGGGGAGGGGGGAGGGGGGGATCCATTGAAACTCACCGCAACGCTCAAGTACGTGTGCAACAAGACCTGGAACTCAAACGGCTGCTGGCCCTCGTTGCGCACGTTCACGACCGTCTGCAGGCTGCCGGGCCCCAGGGTGACGCTGTACACCAGGCCGAAGTCGTGCGGCCACGCCTTGCGCGCCTCGGCGCTGAGGTTCGACGAGTACAGGCCGAAGTCGAGCTTGACCGTGTCGTCCGACGGCGCGCCCGTCTTGGCCGTGTCCGACTCGGACGTGCTCTTGCCCAGGAACTCCCACCGCGACGTGCGCGCGAAGCCGTGCTGCGGCAGCGCCGACGTCGCGTGGTCGGCGGGCGGAGGACCGAAGACCTGTTGGGAAAACAGATTTCCAAAAATCGTCAGCGTCATCGGCCTCTTCTCACAAAACGAGGAATGTATGTATGTACATACCGGGAAGACGACGGGAATGCCGCCCCTCACGGCCTTGGAGCCGTCCAGCGCGGCCTTGTCGCTCAGCCACAGGTTGTCGCTGCCATCAGCATTCTTCCACGAGGTGATGGTGGCGCCGTAGAGCATGACCTCGAGGCTCTCGCCTGACGGCAGCTTGGCCGTGATGCGCGAGCTGTCGTCGCTGATCTCGACGACGGGCTGGGGTCCGCTCGACTTGGCTGCAGCCGCGTTGGGCAGAGCTGACGGCTTGTGCGAGCGCTCGACCATTGTTGCGGATTGTGTTTGGTATTCGAGGATTGGGAAGTGGTGGCTTGTGGGATGCGGCCGGTCGTGGTGGGGCAGAGGGGAGATGTGAAAGGTTGAAGGAGGACGGATCCGGGTTTGATGGCGTTTAGCGGCAGAGAAGGCGCACGTCTATGTACAGGGCGGCCGGCGGGTTCGAAGGGTGATGCAAGAGCCTGGGGCGCAGTTGGCGGTGAGGCAGAGAGGCGTCCGCTGGAGGTTGACGCGGTGGTGATGGTAGGTGCGATGGTGGATGAAGCTCGATCGGCGAAGGAGGGGCAGCGCGCCATATCGCGTGCGGCGCCAGCACCAGAGCCAGCCCCGCGCCGCCAGGATGAAGCACCAAGCATCGCACCCCGGTTTCAGGCTCACATGTCTCTCTCGCTTGCTGAACCCTGCAGCCCCGTCCATTGCCTAAACCGGCTGTCCCTCATGCGCTCTGCCTCTGCCTGACGGGAGCAGACGGGAGCTCGCTGCCTCGCCGCGGGGGATGATGTCATGCCGAATCGCCTGACGGGCCCCAGGCACCGCCAGACGGCATGGGCCACACGGCGGCAGATGCTATGTGTATACCAGTTCGTAATCCGTTGGTTTATGAGGCCCGTCCAAGGGCCAGTCCGTGTAACTACATCAAGCCATCCGTCCGTCTATCATGCATGCTGTGTCCCTTTTTGTCCCCCAACCTGACTCCTAAACAATGCAACCCATTATCTCCCCGACTGCTCATCTCCCCGTTGAGCCGCCGCATTCACCTCGCGTTTGACCTCGAGCATGATTTTGTCGATTTCTGCCACGTCGTCCTGACGCAACACGACCTTTTTGCAGTCCGCCAGCAGCCGCTTGAACCGCTGGATTATGCTCTGCGGCTGTGCCTTTGGCCTCTGTGACATCTCGCCCTCGTGGCCACTGCCCGCTGTAGAACCTTGGCTTGCCCCCTCTGCCGCCTGCACGCCTGCATGCGTTTCAGGCCCTGCTGTGCTACCTGCACCTTGCTTTCCATCGTATGATCTCTTTCTCTTTTTCTGCTGTGTTGCGACCTCGCCCTTTGCCTGACTGCCACCCACTTGGCCGCTGCGTCTCCTTCCACGTGTTCGAATGTCCGCTTTCGTCTCCTCTGCTTGAGCGAAGCTTGTGCGCGGCGAAGAGTGGTTGCTTCCAGCAGCATTCCCACCATGGCTCCCTACAGCAGGTGATGGTGGGTTCGATGCTTGCTTCGACTTCTGAACACTCGAGTTTCTAGACGCCCGGCCCTTTCTCCTCTTGCGTGCTGGTGTTTCTCCAACCATATCGGTCACGTCTTGGGTCTCGTCCACATCCGGCTCCGTCGCTTGCGGCTGGGATAGTCTTGACTTTCTTGTGCGTGATGATGCGGGAGCCGGTTCGGATACTACTCCTGACAATCTCGGGGAAGCCCTTAGAAAGGGTGATGTCCGTTCTGTGGGTTTAGCACATTTCCTGCTCCTTGATTGTGAAATCTCATCTGACGCTGGATCATCATCAACTTCTTTTGGAGAGCTCGATGTGTTTTCGTCCATTTGCTTGTCCATGCTGAAGCCATTCGCCTGGATGTTGCTGAAGACACTCTCATCGCTATCTGAGTCGATTGCAGCGCGGTTGTTGCCATTCTGCGTCAGCTTAGAGGATGAACGATCGTCTTTCTTTGAACGCTTCTTAGCCTTGACATTGTCAATTGTAGTTAGGGACTTCCGCTTCTGATGAGAGCCTGATTGCTTCTTGTTCGATTTTCCGGACAAATTTGGAGTTTGCTGCTTGGGCTGCGGCGAGTCCTTCACTCCGTTAGGCAGGCCCTTTTCTGGACCCATAGCGGCAAATGTGTCTTCGACAATGGCATCATCAACAGAAGCTCTGGATGGGACCGACAGAGGCAACGACCTGGTTTTGCCTGGAGAGGCTCGGATGGGGAGGTCAATAGACGAGGTATCTTTCTCGGTAGCAGAAAGTACATCTTGTGCCTCATAAACGTTGGCTTTGTTGCGCGTCGCTTGCGAAAATGAGCCAGCAGTTCCTTGCGGGAGATCCGCCGCCATGTCATCGAACGAACTGACCCCCTCCTCACCCTCAGGCATATCACGAAGCTCGTCAACAGACAGTTCTGCACTCTGTAGTGCTGACTGACCTTCGTCAATTGTTGAGTCGTCCGGTAAGGTCTGGTCCTTCGTGGCAGAGAATGTACGGCTTTGGCGGAGTGCTTGAGCAATCACCTCGTTCTCAAGCTGCTGAGATACCTCCTCGTCGATATCAGAGCTTGATAGCTCTGGTTCACTCCCATCATCGGAGGTCGGAGATGGGAAGGAAGGCTGCTGCTCGTTGCCCAGACGGGTGTCGGACAGATTTGATACATCACCTACAAGCTGAGCGACTACGTCCTCGTCGAGCTCCTCCATATCGCCAAAGCTCTGCCCAATAACGCCCTCATCGCTGCGGTCTTGCACTACGAAGCTGTCTTTGATGACGCTGGGGTCGGCAAGCAGGTCGTTCATATCGTCAACGCAGGGCGGTGACGATGGCATGATTGTATCGAAGAGATGCTCCGCGGTCGACGATGTCAGATAGGGAGCCTCAGAGATGTCCTCAGTATGCCCTTGTCTTCGCGGTCTGGGCGTTGGAGATGAGCTAGGAACTTCTTGCTGTCCTGCGTATTCCCGGAGACTGAGGAGGGGAGTGGACCTTGGCTCTGCATCTTCACAAACACTGTAGCTTTGTCCAGGTTTGCCGTATACGGGAAGCGCTGAGCCTTTGTTCTTCAGTGGCCTGGGAGGGCTAGAGCTGATGTCAGGGAACATGGCAGCGGTGTCATGCTGTCTCTCTCTGACTTCTCTCTGGTGATCAGTCAAAAGCTGAGAGTCCATTGAGTCTCCGCCCAGAGAAGATTCGATCGGCGCAAAGTCGATTTGAGAGTCATCGTGGCGCAGCTTTGCCATTGCTGTTGAGTTCGATGCTGAAGAGGCTCGCACCCGTCTACTTGGCATTGGATCTGATTGAGCAGGCGACTCGATTGCGCCATGTTTGAGTCGACGGACTAAAGAAGGCCCATGGCTTTCAAACATCACAGGTCCCGCGACAGTATCTTCTTGTGATTGCTCGAACGTTGGTAGAGGCTCAGGTTCCTGATTGAAATTAGTGCTCGCTTTGGTATCATTGACCGATTGATCCACTGACCTCGTCGCTTGGGGGATCCGGGAACCCAGGCAGCCCGAGCTCCACGATAGGCCGCAATCTACGCAAGCCTTTTTCGACATCAGCCGGGTATTGCAATTCTGTTTGCGACCCGAAACTTCTGTTCCACATCTCAACAGTCCTGTTCACAATGCGCTGCCGCTCACTTCGCAATCCAGCTGTAATCAGAGCCGCCAAGGCCTTGAGGAGCCTGGTATCATGCCGCGGCAATGCTTCCATAGCAGACATGACAGTGTTCCAGAGAGAGTATACCTAGATGCGGTCAGTGAACGGATGCCCTAGCCAGTATTTTGGATCACAAGACTCACCGCTTCCCGGCCCCCCTTTGCTTCGTCTGTGTCACCTGACAACTTCCGCTCGTGATCTCTAATCCATACAGCAATCCCGTCCTGAATCTTCCGTAGTAGCACAGCTGCGAATGAGATTGGCCACCGTTGGAAAAGAGCACCCACTTCAGCGGAGAACTCAATGACAAGGTCACCCTTGAGGTTTTCCAGAGCCTCGTAGGACCGATGTAACCGTGAAACAATCATTCTATAAAGATGGTTGAACGGATCGAATTCCGATGGCTTTTGGGGACCCGTGCTCACACCCCATAGAGTCCTACGTGCTTGTTCTACCGTCTTACGATGCCTGGGGTGTGCCGTATGTCGGAGAAGTAAGGCTGAATATTGTATCACAGCATCGCCATTGGAACTGAAGGGGGGCGATTCCAGTCGTTCAGCCAGTGGCTCAGTGATGGCGAGCGCAACAGCGGCCGTACCGACGTCATCGTTCACCTCGTGTTGAATCGTGGAGACGAATGCTGCGTAGAGCGCACTAGCAACCTCGAGGTCATCCTCTGCGCCATATCTCAAGCCACCCGCGAGAATATCCAGGACGGAATGGTACTCTTCACCGAGCGATTGGGAAGCACGGTCAGTGGCTGTGGGAATTCCAGAGTTCCGTAAACACAGCCGGGTGAGCTGGGCACAATGGCGCCAGATCCCCGACTTGAACAGTTCATCATCAGATGCAGTTGAAACCTGTACATAATTTCGAAGAAGCTCGAGTTTAGACTTGCGTGATGGCTTTGCCTGGCAACAGAGCTCGAGGAGCTGCCCTGAAAGTTGCAGACGAGCAGAAGTGTCGATTTCCGTAGGGCCGTCGTTCGTAAAGAGGTGAAGGAGGTGTAGCAAGGGGGACTGCAGGGAACCGCGAGAGTGTGATCTATGTGAGGGCGTTGGTGCAACTTCGAAATCCCCGGCAGGGTTACGCGACAATATAGGATCCGCAAAAGAGCCGGGTCCCAGCTGGTCCACCGCGGTAAGAACAACGAAGGAGAATTTATCTATCCAACTCTGACCAGAGCCATCATCTTGACATAGTGACTTAGGATGGTTCGTCCAGAGGCGGTGGAGGAGGTTCAGGATGTGTGCGCAAGCCTCTTTGAAATCCATAGACGCTGTAACTTCCTTACTGCCTGCTTCTGCCACTGTAGCCATGAGGGATGTCCACATAGTCTTGACTGGAGACTCCGATGCGATCTCTTCGGAAGGAGAATTGCATGTCCAGGGGGTCGACGCAAAACAAAGTTCAAAAGGTTGTAGAACGTTGCCCAGCTTTTGGCGTGTCCATCTGGGATTCAGAGCGATGATGTTGTCGAGTGTGATGGTCACGGATTCGACAGCCAGGTTTTCCCGCCACAGTTTGGTTCGATTCCGCTTGAAAAGCGCCGCTAGAACCTTGCAGGCCATGACAGCACCCCTTCGGTCCCTCTTGACCATTGTTGGGAGCACCTCGACAACAAACTCTTGCCAGTAGAGGTCTAGTTGCTCAGTGGGTGCAGTTGGAGAGAGAGAGTAGTACAGTAGATTGCAGTAGCTCGAAAATGCAGATCTCTTCAACCGCTGTGCGTCCTTGTCGTTGCCTTTTCTTTCAAACTGGGCCACTAGAGCTTGTCGGAGAAGACTTCTGAAGGGCAATGAGGTGTGCTGGGTTGGTCGTACTGCGTAAACAAACCGATTCCATGCTCCATTGGCCTGGATGGCAACCTCCCTATTGCTGGAATTGACACACTTCTGGAAGACTTGCAGCCACTTCTTGAGCAGCTTCCAGGCCTCAAACTTGTGCGCCCGGTTTTTCAAAAGCAGGACTACAGATGCCCATATATGCGGCACGTGTTGCGCTGTCTCGGCGTTGGAGAGCATTTCCAGGAGTCGATCGGTAAAGTAGTCTCCATAGGTCCGACCGTCATCGATGGGTTTTGCTAATATGTCCATTGTAATGCGAGGAACCTTTGATTTTTCGTCTTCCTTGCCAACGGAGATACCTGTCACAGTCGCCAGCTCGACGGCCCGCATGCGAATGTCCTTGTTGCTGCTCAGCAATCCGTGGAAAACGTGCTGGATCCAGTCCGAGGCCCTGTCAATCATGACAAGCTTCTGCTGAACCAACAGAGTCCGGTAGGCCATCATCCTGCAGATGACGACGTTGTTGCCTGAAACACGATCTTCGATATCCTTCAACGCAGTGACAGCACGGTTTGCGCGGTCCACATTCATGCTCTTTCCAAATTGTTGCTGGGAAAAGGCATGAAGGATGTGGTTCACCCATTGCTTCGGAGAAGTTGCGTCACCAAAGGTCTCAATGGCTTTCTCGAGGAAGAAAGTGCGAAATGTATCCGGGATGCGCTCTGCAACTGGCCCAGCTTCCATGAGAGCCACAAGAAGCTTTATCGCTTGGAGAGAAAGCTGGACATCCAAGCCACCGGTCTGGGTATTTGTAGCAGTCATGTCGCGTTGCATGAACTGCGCCAAGAGTCCCATCTTGTCGGCGAGCGTTTTCGCATCTGGCTTGCCGTCATACGTTTTTAGAGTGGTGACCAGTGCCATATACGCATCGATTCTGTGGAGCCGGGACTGTCCAGCAAGCTGCTTGACCAATGTCTCCATCATTGTTGCGAATCCACTCGAAGTGCTTGCGGGATGTCCCGAGGTTGGTGTTGAAGGTTGGGTAGGCGGAGGGTCGTGAGCCTTCAAAATGCTCTTCAAGGTCCTGGGATCCCGCGGCTGGGGCAGAGGCCGGAGAGGAGAACCGGGAAGACCGCGGCGCGAAGTTGCAATGTCATTGGCGCCGTGGTAGGCGGTCCAGGGTGAGAAGTCGACCTTTTTGCGTCGTGCGGAATCATTGGGCCGGTCGGCGGAAGATGCTGGCGACTGCTGGGGCGGAGTGTTGACATAGGCGGGGTCGGCAGAGACAGGAGCATCGCTGATGGCTTCCTCTACCTCGAAGCTGTCGGACAGGAAGTGCAGGGCCTCGTCGACGTACTTGTCGGCTTCGCGGGGAGGAGTTGGTGGCCGCACAGGTAGGCTCTCCAATGCGGTCGGCTCGGCGGGCGCCATGGCTGAGCAGCGTAAAAACGAAATGGGGCGAGGGCGTCAGGTCATGGCCAGGCCGGAGAGCGCGCGGGAATCGCGGCGGCGAAAGCTGCGAGCTGGTTGAGGCGTGGGACGGGGCGGCAGCTGTTGGAGGCGGCTGGGCCAGAGCCAGCACAAGCAGTGAGCAAACGCCGCGTCCGACGCGCCGACGCGAAGTCGCGTCCGCAGCCGCGCGCCCCGGCCCACAGTGCGGCAGCCTAATTGAAATCCGGGGCGCGCGCCTCGGGGCCCTGTCTCGCAGGTCTCGATGGCCTGAGGCAGGGATCCCAGCTGCTGTGCCGCGCACTCTCCCCTCGCAGCCGCGGCCGGGGCACAGCGCGTCGCGCTCGTCGCATGCGTCATTGACGATCGCTCCGTGCTGGCCGATCTCCTGTGCGATATTGCGTCCGCATGAGGGCCACGGGTCCGCTCCGCCCACGCAGCGCATCACATGCCCCCTGCCCACCGCCAGCTGTGTTGCTTCTTCTGGATGCGTGCCGGCCACTTCAGCAGCCCTGTGCAAGCCGGGCAAGGATGGCCGCGGGCTGACTTGCTCGCATGCCCGCCCAGGACACGCAACCAGTCCGGATCACTACTCAGCAGCGACTCAATGCGGGGACCCACCATTTGCGAGCTGCCGCAGCTAAGATTCAGCCCCGTGTGCCCGCCTTAATGTAAAGACCAGCGCGCCCGCCGCTCCGCCAAACACCTCCGACTCCCCATCCACCACCCACCTGAACCTGGATGCCACAATGGCCTCCAACACAAACGGCGCCTATGCCGCCTCCATTGCCGGCGAAAGTAAACTGCCCTCCTTGGCCGGCCCGACTTCGCGCTGACGCCGCCCAGAAAAGCGAGCAGAGGTGTCCATGTTGATGGCCCAGCTGCGTGCCGACCTGGATGATTCGAGTCTCCAGCCGCACCGTGAGTCTGCCGCCGCCCGCTCCCCCCGCGCCGCCGCCATGCGCTGACCCGCCCCGCCCGCAAGAGCGCAATGCCGCCCTCGAGCAGATCAAGATCTATGGCCGCGACGTCCGCGACGCCGACCCCATCTTCACGCCCGACGTACGCCGCTCACCGCCTCGTCCCGCCACACACTGGATGCGCATGCTGAGATGTGACACGTAGGGCATCGACACGCTGGCGTGCCACGGCTTCTACAGCACTTCCTCCGTCACCTCGCGCGAGGCCCTGCGCTGCCTGGCCAACGCCCTGCTCCTGCAACCACAGTGCAGACAGACTCTGGTGGACAAGGGGCATGCGGAGAAGGCGGCCGAGAAGCTCAAGGTCTGTATGACTCCGGCCAAGAAGCTGGTCGGCACGACTGAATCTGCGCAGAGCGACAATGCGGACGATGAGTTCCTTACGTCGCGGATTCTGTTCCTCCTAACCTACGACACAAACTTGAACTTTGATCCCTTGGTTAGGGAAAAGGGATTGGGCGATGCAATCACGCAGGTACGGTGCGGGACCGCCAGACCATGAGGGTCTGTCTCGTTGACACTCGACGCAGAGCATCTATCGGCATTCCAAGCGGTATTCGAAGAACGGCAAGAAGCAGAACTCGTCGCCAATGGATGACATGGCTCTCTCCGAGACCCTGAAGCTCGTATTCAACCTGACGCACTTCTATCCGGATTTCACCGACATCTTCACCAAGTCCGTTCCCGATCTGCTCAAGATCCTTACTCGAGCGCCCGTCCCGAATCCGCCGCTGCAGCAGCCGATTTGCTACCTCATCAATGCCTTGCTGAACCTCAATCTGGACGACAAGAAATCCAACGTCTTTCCAAAATGGGACCAGAACACCAACGCCGCGCACCTCTGCGAGCTCCTCGACAAATCCGTTGCCGCTTACAAGGAAGCTGAGCTGGACCAAGTTGCCGCGCCTCTGGTTACGCTCATCCGGCGCATCTACGAATTCGCACCGGACAGCGTCAAAAAGTACATGCAATGGCTCCTCTTGCCGACCGAGGATGATCGGAAGAAGCCACTCGGAGACACGGACACTCTGTCATCTCGCCTCCTGAATTTGTCCACGGCAGCCATGTTGCCCAATCTGCGGAGCCAAATCTCGTCAATGCTGTTCGAACTTTCAGACAAGGATGCGTCGACGTTCGTTCACAATGTCGGTTACGGGTTTGCATCGGGATTTCTCCTCAGCCACAACATCGCTATCCCGGAGAACGCCATGGAGGCTTTCGCCAATGGGAATGGAGCTGCGGAAGATGCCGAGGGAGACGAGAAGGAGAAAGCCAAGGAGAATGCTAGGGGATTCAACCCCATCACAGGCCAAAGATGGGACGCCGAGGAGGTCAAGGACACGGGTCCGCCAATGACTGACGCGGAAAAGGAGAGGGAAGCCGAGAGGCTCTTCGTTCTGTTTGAAAGGTAAGCTCACGTCCCAGCCATGTATATCACCTGACTCACCAGCTCTGCAGACTCAAAGCCACAGGCGTTGTCGATGTCAAGAACCCTGTCGAAGACGCGATCCAATCAGGACGCATCGAGGAGCTTTCCGACAGCGATGAGCCCACGTCTCCTGACTAGGAGTGCCACCTCGGATTCGGGTCCCGTTTTCTTTTTCAGTACACATAGCCTTTAATGCGCATTAGCGAAGGATGCATTGGTAGGAGTTGGTCAAGCAACAAGAATGGGCAGCGCTCGTCATCGCTACAGAATGGTTCGGAAATCTCAGCGGGTCGAACATGGGAATCGTTCACTGATTTCGTTCGCATTGAAAGGAAAAAGATTGGTTTCGCCGCATACTGTATTACTATTTGTCCCCTATTTTATTGTAATCACATGCAACAAGGCTTTCGATGTTAGCCTGGTGCAACGCCGAGGCCCCGCATCATCAAGGGTGAAGATCACAGGACGGGCAGCTCAACCCCGCGGTGGAGAGGTGTAGGCTCGTCCAGCTGACGACTGCATACCTGCGTCGACCCCACGGCGAGGGTTGCGGACTGTTCATTCTCAGCGCATAAGCTGCAGCACGCATGTGATTCTTCTTTTCCGCGTGAGCGTTGGGCTGTCCAATACTCTGACCGATTACCGCCTCTCTTTTCCCCCCGTTCCTAATGTTGATGGAGCGTCTCGTGGGCGTGCTTATATTCATGTGGGAACATGGAGCTTGCCGAGGCTGTTGCCAGTATTTCAAGACGTCTCTTGGTGACACGAATTAGGGGCAAGCATGACTGTTCATGCCGATCCAGCGCGAACCTCGCGGCATCAAAGAATGTTGGTGCAGGCTACATGTGGGTCGGTGGCGGTCTCTTGATGAACACGAGCCCTCTGTTGGTGGCACAGTTGTAACCGAAATCTTGCTCATGTTGGCTGCGGGGATGAGGCTGATGGTGGTTAAAAGGTTTCTTTTGCCAAGTTAGGATGAAAGAGGAGGTTCCAGGGGCTCAGAAATGACGGGCTTCAGGAGGGGCTGGAAATGGCCTTGCGGAGACCGGCATCAAATAGAAGAGATGCTGTATCAAAGGGCATGGGAGAACGTCTGTTTTCAGTGAGGAATAATATATGGCTGGGACGACCTTCTCGGTGTTCCTTCCTTCCCATGGCATGGGAATCAAGGGTCCATGTGTTACCAATGGAATAGTGGCAGCCCTTGCAGTTTCGGGCAGGTCTTTCGGAATAAATAGATCCGTTGTCGTAGCAACAGAAAAGTAAGAATGACTGTGTACGAAAGGAAAAACAAATGGAGCAGCGACCCTCTCGGCTTCGCTCGGAAGGTCCACGGGCTGGGTCACGAGAGGCAGAGTGTTCTCGGTTGCCACAGGTCTTGGCGATTGCGGTCATGATGATGTACTCATAGTGCAACAGGAGAAAGCGCGCACAGAACCCATCTTGGAGCGTACAGGGATCAACCAAATGAAGGAAAATGAAAGGTGGGTGAAGATGGCGAAGATGGCGCAGAAGGTTGGTGGTTGAGAGGCGCGGGGGATTGAGATGTTTATTTATGGAGCCTGGAGGAGGGGGAGCTTTCTGCCGTCTTCTGTGGAGCAACACTCCGTCATCAGCTCACCAGCCACAACGACATGCGCTGCGTGCGCCCGCCGTCGATGCCTCAGGCCTTCTCCTGCGTCGCAAGCTGCTGCTCGTCCGCCAGCTCCCGCCACCACCGAATCACCAGACTCCAACACCGACGTTGAAAGCTGCACACAGCACACGCCTTTGCGGACCATGTCGCTGGTGCCGCGGCTGAATCGCGGCGAAATCGTGCTGTAAGCTATCCCCAAGCCCCGCCAGCTTCTGTTCCCGCTCTGCTGATCCACCGCCAGCCGCCATGGCTCTGCCGTCGTCGTCTACGATGAGCGCTCGCGCCAGCTCTCGCTGCGCGCCAGATCCCAAGGCCCCTCCGATGTCGAGCTCGCGAACCCCAACTGCCCCTACTGCCACCGCCCGCTGCGCGACGAGGCGCGATCCCCCGGCGACGACGTGCCCGACGACAACGACCATGGCTTCGTGAACCCAGAGTACTTCCGCATGCTGCACCACAGCCGCCCAAGCTCCGAGACATCGTCGCGACAGCCCTCTCCTCAGCGAAGGCCGCCTCGCCGAGCGCTGCGTCAAACCTCGGGCGGCTCAGACATCGGCACTCCGCCGCCGGGCGCTGAGTTCGTGGGCAGCACTCCCGCCACTCCGGCCGCGCCCCACGGCATCTCCTCTACCGCTTTTAGTCAGGGCTATTTCAAGACATTCTTCGTGGAAGAGGGCGAGCTTGGAAGGGGCGGCAAGGGCGTGGTGCTGTTAGTGAAGCACATGCTCGACGGAGTGTCTTTGGGCCACTTCGCATGCAAGCGCGTCCCCGTCGGAGACGACCATGAGTGGCTGGAGAAGGTCTTGGTCGAGGTGCAGCTTCTTCAGAACCTGTCTCACCAGAACCTCGTGTCGTACAGGCACGTCTGGCTGGAAGACTACCAGATCAGCGCCTTTGGGCCCAGCGTGCCCTGCGCCTTCATTCTGCAGCAATACTGCAACGCGGGCGATCTGCACAATTACATCCTGAACCAAACCCAGGCTTCTGTGACCACCCAACAGCTCAAGGAGAGGATGCGCCGCAGGTCAAAGGGCCAGGCTGAGCCGCCGTCAGGCCTCGCCCAACCCCGCCGCATGCCCTTTGAGGAAATCTTCTCCTTTTTCAAAGATATCACCGCCGGTTTGCATCACTTGCACTCTCACGGCTACATTCATAGAGACGTGAAACCGCACAATTGTCTGCTCCACACTACCGGCACTAAGACACGGGTTCTAGTCAGTGATTTTGGCGAAGTACAAATGGTCAATGTTGCTCGAAAGTCCACCGGAGCCACAGGCACAATCTCATACTGCGCCCCAGAAGTCCTCCGCCGTGACGCTCGCGGTGAGTTTGGCAACTTCACCACCAAGTCAGACATCTTTTCGCTGGGCATGATCGTCTATTTCATGTGCTTTGGCAGACTGCCTTATCAGAATGCGGACGACTTGCACGAGGAAAACGAGGATCTGGAGCAGCTCAGGGCCGAAATAGCCAGCTGGCAAGGCTTCGACGACGTGCGTAAAGCGCGGTCAGATCTTCCAGACAAGCTCTACAGCTTCTTGAAAAGGCTGCTGTCCCTCGACCCCGCAGAACGACCCACCACGGAGCAAATATTACTTGGGATAGGCGCCGGATCCGGACTGGAAGACCTCAACGGCTTCGGGCCCCCATTCGACGACATCGGGCCCCGGATCTCGTCGGCAGACTCGCCTTCCCCCAGCCCGAGCAAGCTGCAGCGCCGCCACTCGACCCAGACGGGCCTCATGCGCGCCCCGTCGAAACTGCGCCAACAAGCAAACGCCGAAGACCACCGCCCGCCCAGCCCCCCGACGAGCCGCAAGCCGCCGCCGCCGCCGTCGTCGCCGTCGGCCGCCACAGGCAGCCGGACGCCCACGCCCCCCGACTCCGCCGGCCTCATCCTCCGCAAACGCCAGCTCGACAACTACTCGCCCCCTCCTCCACACCACCACCACCACCACCGCCGCCACTCCTCCGCATCGCCCACATCCCCCCCACCAACAACACCGCGCCTCATGCTCCCCCCTCCCTCCTCCCCCTTTTCCTCCCTCCTCCTCGCCCCCCGCCTCCACGCCCTCCTCGCCTCCCCCGCCGCCGCCTCCTCCATCAAACTCGCCCTCTTCCTCGCCAAGACCTTATCCCTCTTCCGCCCCTGCAGCCCCTTCGCCGCCAACCCTTTCGTCGCCTTCCCGTTGCTGTGCCTCGCCGCCCTCGACTTCGCTGGGCCGTCGTTCTTTTTCGCCGTGGCGTCGTGGAATCATCACCATCACTATTATCCGTTCGCGGCGGCGGCGGCGACGAGGGGAGGGTGGGAGCGGGTGGGGTTGGCGTGGTGTTTGGGGTTGTTGGGGTTGCATGTGGTGGCTGTGGCGGGGGCGGGGTGGTGGGGCTGTTTGTGTGCGGTTGGTGTTGGAGGGGGGGTGGGGGCGGGTGGG